AAAACTGACACTTTGCCGACTGAAAAATACACTGGCCGTGGCTTCGAATCTACATGCTAACAAACCAAAATCAAAACCTTTTCAAAATCAAAAGCTTTATTTGGACAAGTATTTTTGAAGCATAATATTCACTAATACATCGAATGAAACAAAAATATGAATAATATACAACTATCAAATTACATTCAAAAAATATATGTAGATCAGATTAGCATAAATTATGTAAATGAGGTAATATGTCATAACTGCTTTAATAAATATATTTGTGTTAATTAATTCACGGTAATTAGAGACTTCTTTTTATTTCCTTAATATTATTCAAATGTATTTTACTGTATGTAATTATTGCGTTTCAAATAACATCATATCATTATAATCCACAAAAAATATACTAAATTTTAATTGCAAATTTCGTCAATAATTCTGACGCCATGAAAGCTATTTTCTTAATTAGGCAATGAATATACTGATCATCAAAAGACGCCCAAAGAAATCCGCATCTTTGAACGAAATAACTTATTTTGAATCTCATCAAAATTTAATCGAGGAGTTTTTCATTTGAATTAACATTTCAAAAGTAATCACCATAATCATAAACATCTTTGCTTGAATCTAAAATTTCACTCCAAACCTTAACAAATTATACTTTCAAAATTTTCTTTTCAAAACGAAAATTATGCAGATTTCTATTACCTGATAAAGGTGTTATTACACTAAAACTGATTTTTAAAACAGTAATCTTTATAAATAGAAGTCAATCTTTTTAGACATTGCCAATATTAAGTACACGTTTACCTTTAAGGAACAAACATGGTGACATTGTGCTTTCTTGGATGTCAAATTAATGGATTCAACAAAAAATACGCTTAAATGAAATGGCATGTCTACCAATGTAAGAAGCCTGGTACCTATGCTGCTACTAAATATCACATCTTAGCTTCCCTATCCCAATTTTCAGCATTTTAACTGGACACGGAACTTGACAAAATGGCTTCAGATATCCATATGATGTGAATTGCTTAGCAAATATTAAGAACATTTATTTAAATGCGTGACCGATCACGATATACTTAGCATACTTCATCAGGCAAAGTAAAGGGGCTAAAACCATTATCCCACATGGGGGTTTAAAGGGTCCTCCAGTATCCGATTAGTATAATTATCTGGCATTAGCCTAGTTTTAAGAGACTCAATAATGCTACCATAAGTAAAATAATTCTGTATGTATTGTTGACTAAAGTCCTACTGCCTCGAATCATTTTCATTTTTACCACAATTTTTAGTTTTAACCCTACTTTTTTAGACTTTAAACAGTTATTTCACAAAATGTTATCAAATTGGCGTATATTGCCACCTCTAGGATGTCAATATTTTTATGAAGTAAGAAAAAACTGATTCATGAGCAAATGCACAAAAACGTCCGTTGAGATTTACATGCTTGTTTGACTCCACCTTCTTTCAAAATGATCAACACTGTTCGCTAATGCAGGACCCCTACTGACATTATAGACCACTGTATAACTGAATGATTATGTACCAGATAGTTGCCATGTTGTTAATTTATCTTCTATTACTGGTATTATGTCATAATTGCCTTTTAATTATTACCAATTGATCTTGATCACATCCATACAAATGACATAAGTTCATTGCCAGGTTCATACCAAACAATTTGCAAGTTGTTGAGAGAGCTTGTAATGGCATTCCATAAAAATATTAGCCTTAGCCTTTTTTACAGTAAGGGAGATATTAAAGTAACGTTTACAGCTTTTAGTTTTAGTTAAGGGGTATTTCGATTTATTGTCCTACCAGACGTCCTTCTAAGGGCCCTCTGATATGCAGAACTACCATCCATGGCATCCAACAGAGGAGAAATGTCACATCAATAGAACCATGCACCAAAAGGGGTCTTCGTAAAAAAACTGCAACAGGATATGAGTCAAACCAGTTGTCCTCAAGTCATACAGTTCTTATAAACAAACAAAAAATAAATATCAACTGATCAAAAAAGGAAATGTACCTATTTAAAAATAGAAGTATTTTACAAATATTCAAAGCCTGCCCTTCAACGAAATGTTACCTTATATGAATCATTGTCAAATTAACGACAAGTCATAAAGTGCTTCCAGGCAAACAACAATAACAATCGATAGAGTTAAATGATATTGGAATGGTGTATATGAAAAAACACGGAAGCCCATCCAAAAACACTACAGAAGATGATACTTCAGTGGACTAGAGTAAAATAGATATACCGGACTGTTAACCTTAACGTAGGCGCATACTTAACACGATGACTGTTTCGAAGACTGCTTTGGGCAAGATATATTCGTAATCTACGAACTGGGTAACTGTACCTTCGTGAAAAGATAATGGACATGAGTCATTGTCAAATTGCCCTTCAGTCATACGGTGCTTCAAGCACTTCAAATAATATCTAACGATAAAGGTTTGTCACAACTGAAATATGCGTTATTTATACATTCATTGATATGATTGTTATTTCAATTCATATAAATAATTTATATATCGCAATAAACATTATTATTGAGTTCGTCATATTGACTGTTATTTACAATTCGGTGTATTGTGCCTTCCAATGCGTACTCTATTGAAGGAACTAATTGGACCATATTCTAGTATGAATAACTCTGATCTCTTGCTCAAAGGGTGAAACGGTGTGGTCGAATGTCCTGCGGCGATCATCACACCAAACTTGTGGCTAACTATAGACTGCAGCCCAAATTTCAGTTTTCAAATCGTTTCGATGGGTTTCTTGTGTTTTTATTGAAGGAGTCGTGCTGTATCAATACGTTCCTTTTAACAAGACTACACGATTTATTTTATGAATGCCAACTACCATGACAGTTGTTCGTGGTTGATCCACAGAGCTTCTAAGCCATCTGATTTGTTCCGAAACACATGGCTTTTGACCTTTAGCTTTTATGTTATGCATCTAATTACCATAATAATATTCATAATCTTGATAGGACTATTTTTCTAATGACTTTGCCAATCGGAGTGGAAATGTGCAGAAAACTAATTATATCCTTATGACCTTTAGCCTACCAATTACTTGACCACCATGTTGCAAAATTAAACATACAATTTATGGTCGTTAAAGCTAAAATTTCAATGATCACAATGCATTTGTATAGATTATAAATTTCAATATTAAAATGTTCATTGGGGGAATATCAGTGCTATATCGCAGGGAAGACACACAAGATCGACCAGAACACACAACACTGGCTATACATGAGATATCATGGTAAACTTAACGACGAGTCTAATGCATGCAGTGATGCCTAATACGCATAATCCACATGTTATATGGTGACATAGTGTTCATTGGCGAGCATATCAGTACTATATCACAGGGAAGACACGCAAGATCGACCAGAACACACAACACAGGCCACACCTGAGATATCATGGTAAACTTAACGACGGGCCTAATGCATCCTCGGATGCCTAATACGCATAATCCACATGTTGTACGGTGACATATTGTGATAATGAGTACAAAATTTTTCTGTTATGCATCTCATTTCCATAATAATATTCATAATCTTGATAGGACTATTTTTCTAATAATTTTGCCAATCGGAGTGGAAATCGAAATGTGTAGAAAACTAATTATGAAGATCATACCAAAGCGACCTGAACATTGAAAAAGTGTTATCAAATTCAAGCTAGCTTCGAAATCAATATTTTATGCATATATGATAAAATATGCTTTTAATTTCTATTTTTGCATCAGTGAATACAAGTTACAAAGACAATTGAGTACCCAGGCGTAAGAACCATCAAGTGAACGCATAGAACCTCAAGTGATATAGGAGTAAAGAGACCAAACCTTCTCTTTCTTCCTGACGTCAATCCGAAATGCAATTATAAAATGCTATAAGCCCTAAATGACGATTTAGTATCTCAGCATGGACATATTATTCAAGATACTCGCATAATCAACTAGCACGGTGTATACCACATCCACTTATACCTTCGTCAAATCAACTTCACGTGGATATCAATGTATTAAAGACGTAGCTACTTGTATATGAAATTGAAATGCCTTTTAATAGAACCTAGATAATACAGAATCTGGGCACGTTAGGGCATTTATTCCAAGGTAGATATGGCACTAACGCTACCTTCTCTCCCACCTTTTCGGTTTTGCGCCATATACCCCATGTATATATCAATATATTAATACCGACCTGACTATATGAAATACATTGAATATAGAGCCTCGGGTGACAATATAGTATCAAGATATGATCAATTAGTATATAATAGTAGGCTACATAATGAATAACAGTTACACTATATGATTATTACAATAGTCACTATATAGCCTGCCGAATATAACTATAGCACAATTACTTTAGTTTCTTTCTTAAACGTTGCCCTAATGATAGATTATAGGTCCGAAACGCATCGTAAGCTTTCAGTCGAGGATTCGTATCAGAAGTATCAAAAATATCGAATTCCCATACCTGTCCAATGGGTCCAGTTGCTGCAATATCGTCCATACATTGAAATTCCCACCACCATTTTATGACGCAATTTATGTTAGAAATCGACACATCGATACGATTTTTGAGATTATATTCGTAAGAGTAAATTTTGTTTCAATTTTGTTCAAAGGTATATAGGCTACCAATCAATTCTAAAAAAGGGAAGACATCTTACGCTGTGTAGGTACGTCTCTCTTACGATTATCAATGCATAACCGATACTTTAAACAAATCAATCATTCAACCATGCAATTGAGTAAGACTCTAAACATTTTCGAAACGGTAATCTGAAGGTATTCGAAGGATTGTTCAAAATACTATACCAAACATTTCAAGAGTTTGGTTTATGACATATTCCATAATCCCTTAGTACCAATTAACGTTCGGGAATATCAAATAACGTTAAAGAATAACGTCCCATATATCAAATAACAAAGTTGACGTTATTTATTAGGCCTATCATTATAATGTGTATATTGGTTACTTCGTATTACTTTGTTTTTTTGTCACAAAACGATTTATACTGATCACTGTCAATGTATTCTAAAACAAAAAACACAAACTGTCAAAATTGCACAAGATCTACCATTAAAGTGTGATACATTAATAAATTTTCTCGGATTTGGTTGTATTTTGCCATACAAAACTAAATAGACGACGGTATTAATTGTCGATCGGGGTAATTTGGTGTGCCTATTGTTAACGTACTATAATAGATCTTAGTACTAATACTATTTTGGATTAGTGACAAAAAATGTGACGCATTTCAACTAACTGACTATTGAGGAAAATATTTGAACTGATCTTTTCCAACGAATTTTGATGTTGAAAAAGACAATGTTCTGTTTTTGAATGATCCCACTTTATAATTGAATGTAAGGTACTCTTCCTTCCTGTTCTTTCTTTCTAAGCTAATTGATTTTTACGAAGACAGTCTGTCTTTTACAATGAATATAATAATTGGTTCGTACAGACAAGCATAGAACGTTCGTAAATAATTTGGTTGCACATTCAATTCTTAAACGTTCGTATTTGGCTTTTTAAAACAATGAGTTTAATTTAAAATTTGTTTTAAGGGATGTCAGAATATTTGAAACGTATGTTTGAAAAGTGTTTGAAAAGTATTGGAAAGGTGCAATTACAAAATCAATATATCTTTGAAGGGACGTCATTTTCGTTTTCTAAACCTTTCAAATAGTTCTGACGTCCTACAGATAAACTGCAAAACACTTTTAGTTGAAATTTTCAGATAAGAAGGTACATATTTTTTTGGATCATAGTTTTCATTTATTGGAGCACATACATTCCAATCGTGCTATTAAATATACATACAAATATGGAATTGAATCATGGCCTTAATTAATTTTATTTGATAACTGAATTTAAATAACTGGGATGATAACTGAAATCGATATTACATGTAGCCTACTGATTGTGAAAAACTTATAGGGTTATATTATGTATAATTGACTATAATTAAAAGACTTACCAGCTCTAAAAGGTTCAATAATTGTTTCGGCGTTTCCACGCAGCACTGCTCGCCCTTTTTGTCATCTTTTCGAACGAAAGCGTTCAACATTTTATCCTCTTCGGGACTAGGTCCCAATCTAATTTTACTACACGAAAAACACATTTCTTTATTTTCTAAAATTTTGGCAATTTGTTCACCAACTTTCGGTTGATGGGAATGATGAGTCATGTCGTAACGGAGAGTTCCGTACAAACCTGCGACAGTACTTATGATGATTACTCCTCCGATTACGACTACGGCGGCTAAACCGTATAAATAGTTCGTAAGTCGCGATAACTGGGTCCTTAATCTATCGCATTCCTCCATATATCCTTCCGGCTTGAAGGATCCATTGACGTTATTTGGTCGTTGCATGTTGTTTTGTTTACCTTCGAGGAGATTCTTTGACGAATCTGGATCGCGATCTGTCATGACGTTAGTTCCAAGGCGAATATTAGATTGACCTAATTACTAGCTACTTCCTATAGAACTACACTAACAGACAACTGCATGAATTGCAGGAATCGTTCGAAATCTTCTCTCTAGCTACAACTACACACGAGTCAAGCAGACTATCAATCACAGTAATAGGTCCGTTCTTCGCGCCTGACTTCTGTCGTCTGCTAAAATCACACGATCGTCTGGTATTAGTTAATATATACCAGGGCCGATAATTCACCGGGCGATATCAAACTGTTAATGATGAAGAAACGATAAATGTCTGAGGATTATGAAATGGAATTCGGTATATTATCATAAGTATAATTCTATATCCTACTGTATACTTTGTTAAACACTGTTATACTTTCTCCCGTTACAAACACGCGCTCTTAGTATCCGATAATAACATAACTAGTCACGTGATAGTATCGACCAATGGTATTTACCGATACATATCTATAACTGTATGTCATATTGGAAAGAATCGACTGCGTTGATTTCATTGTTTCAAAAGCGTTATTGTAAAGTTAGTTATTCATATCAATAAGTGCCTTCGTTCAACAAAGTTTCCTTTCTAGGGCGGAACAATCCTTGCTTACAATTTCAAATGGTGAAATATTTTGGAAAGAAGGTTTATTATCAGGAAGACGTGTGACTGAAAGGGAGGGGTATGTGGGGGAGGGGAAGTTGGGCGTATTGTTGAGTTGTTAACCACAGCTGTAGGATGACATCAGATGCTGCAGAATTGTCAACATGCTCTACATCGCAAAAGATACCATCCATTTATTTCTAATTGGGAAGACACGTTATATTAGCAGAATAATCAAACAAAACTTGAAATTCAGATCTGGTACTCTAATTTTAAGCCAAAATATCTCGATCCTTGCTCTGTCTTCATGGCCTAGAATTGGAGCGAAGTAAACTTTTACGTAGCTTTACATTAGGAGTCGGTCGGTTCAGATTCGTATCGGCGCTTCTTTTAAGGTGCAGAAATGTAGGTAAAACTCCATTCATTTCATTTTCATTTTCAAATCTGAAGTTCTGATCTCAAATGTTTGGAACAGTAGGCGACATGAATTTCCAAAGTGCATAAAATTCACCCTCAAGTTTCCTATACCAAAAACCCAATAAGGCACAGACTAGTAGGCGTTCAAAACTGGAATGTCAATTTCATGTGCTCATTGTTACACAGCTGGTCATATATTATACATAAACTAATTAGAGACAATAACCTGACTTAAAGGGATAGAGTGATCTAGGGATTGTTTAACCAGCTTAGAGAACTGGTTAAATTCCCAATAACACTTTTCAAAATACACACCTTACGTAGAGTCTAATATTCATTTGAAAACGAATTTGATTAACCCCCACAAAGAAAAAACACTTGAATTCCATTTCGAATTTAGACAGTTTCAGAAATTTGGTCGTAAGAGCAGTTTGTTTTATCAAATTACATACTAACTTGAAGCCACTTTCATTTTTTGCGGTGATATGCGAAGTCAAACAAATACCGGCAGTTATGTTCCCTGGTTTAGGCTATTCGCCGGACCTAATCATAAAGGATCCAGGCGTCGCATTCACTTTCGGTAGGTGTCAAGAGTATTCATAATCAATTCATTCATTTACGATATGTGAATTTAATAACATCGCATTTTATCTTTATCATAAACGATCCAGACATCGAATTCAGTTTTCATAATAGCCTAAAAATTCATTTGCTTTAAAAGTAAAGGGTGCGTGGAAAAATGAGAAAATTTCCCTTTAAACCAAATCTGCTTTCGTGATGCAAAATTATTTCATTGTTTTCGCTAGTTATTAACAGCGACATAAATACTTATTGATAAAATCGTAATCGGATTGGGATATTAGCTCGAAGAAAGGACATGCTGTGACCTGTTAGCGATCGATGGTAAGAATTGGACTTAATTGGGATTAAAGATTAAGCTAAATTGAAATGTGTAGTCTTAAAAGATTTTCTTAGTATCCTGATTAGAATACAGGGACTCATTAAAAGAACGTTATTACTGTGGAAGTAAATGGCATTGTAATAAGGTTACGATTATGTTGCCCTGTAACGAACTAAATTAAAGATAATGCTTGGTTTACAATTTTAAATACAGATCAACGCACAATCTTTTATTGCTCACGTAACGTACAGAAACAGCGAATTGTTACCAAGGTTGCATGCAACTTAAACGAATTGTTACCAACACCAACATTGGCAGCGAATGTCAATTTTCGCAGCTGATCGGGTAGCGGTTACAAAAAAATTTCAGACAGATCTCAAAAAACTTTTTATCCACTGTTGTTGCGTGTTTAGTTTTATTGCAAACAAAGGAAAGGTCGAAGTAATAACGCGTTGAGAGTGCAGTGAAACATGGAACAGTTAATTTCATTTTTAAGAGGAACCTGTGTATAGTTTATCGAAACCCATATATGGCTCAGTTCGGCAGTGAATTTATCAATAATTGTTTCTTGGACGTTTTTAATAAATTTTGAAAGAAAGAGAAAATTGTCTATTGAAATTCCGGTTAAGGCTCTCTTCGTCACAAACATAATTTATGAACCTACTACCTTTATATTCTTCTTGACCCAAAATATCCACAAGCAAGAGAATATATTTTGAACTGATACATAAAATTGGAATAAGATTCTGAAACTAATACATATCTTTTCAATCACATGGTTTTAGAAACACCTGACACCACCCAATCAATGCAGGCAATCGGGTTATTTATTGCCTTTAATGTATATCACTGTAATTGGAAATATTGATATGTAAAGTTGTTTTGCTTTCATACGTTTAGATGTAAATCTGTTGCATTTAAATGTAAACATTCTGGATTTCAGATTGACTGACTGCAAAATGACCTTTGTACAGTTCAGTTTCGCAGGATACCCAGGACTGATTGAAATAAGTCGGACGGACAATTATTGGGGCGGTCGTGTTTACTATTTTCATGAGTAATTTATTTTACTTACCTTATACCTATGAATGCTAACGGCAGGTTACCATCAGGAACCCCGAAGAGAGAAATTACAAGGGTGGAATGTTCAGATCAACAAGAAAGAAGATTGAATTTTAAAGAAGACAACTGCACGAGTCGTCTTTTTTATGAGGCACTGCAATATATAGAAAAGGCATTATGGAAATAGGAAATGAAATTCTTTGTATTTGTCTGGAAGTAGAACGTTAAACTCCATTCATTTCATTTCATTTTGTAAAGGAATTATGCGATTTTCGTACATTTCTAGTACTTCTGAAGACTATTTACATATATATATATAAGTAATTAGGGTTGTCATCAATTCTTGGTAAAATGAAACACTTTTTAATCCATTTTAGAATAAGACTCAAATCACTAATACTACTAATGATAACTGCACCTTTAGACATTATTAACCTTTTTGGCTTTTGTTAAAATCGTACAAAAATGCCACAATTTAACAGCTCCTTCAATGTCATCCTTATGACAGGGCATTATGTTTTTCTGTTTGATCAAGTATATATAGATGTAAATATCATAATATATTTAAGAAATATTTTCAGGTACGTTTTAAGATAATGAATATATTTCATACAGCCCCTTTAATAAAAAATGGGAAAGAAGCCGAAACATGAAAACCAAGATATCTAGAGACCTATGAAGTGACAATAAAATAACTGTTTTGAAATAAAATTGTTATCAGTAACAATTACTTCACTATCATGCGAACGTGAGAATTGTATTTGTTCTACCCAAGAGAGATATATAAACGCCATCGTCTGAAAATGTTATTCTCACACCAAGTCTATATGTATAAATGTTTACTGCACGCAAGGTCTGAAAACATTTTCTAATAGCCCTATAGATGTTATAAATATAAGTTTTTTTTAACACCAATCTATTCGTTTTTCGATCATGTACCTTTAACATTAACACAAGACTTGTCGCCAAACGGACGTGGACACAAATGCATGATATAATAAGGCGCTGTGATGCGATGAAAATCGTTTGAAATAGCAATATAACATCATTTGCTGATTGGCATCAGGCCTCCCTGCTCAACATTAGGATTCAACATTAATGGTTGCAAAAAAATACGCAATGGACGTTTCTGGGTTAGAAAGGATCAGAATTGTTCTAATCTTCAATGGTCACTCAGTCCGCATTGGAGAGCGGTGGATTGAGCAATAGTCTACATTTTAGATTTTCAACAATTGACTTATTTTTAAGTGCACAGCCTTTCGCAATCGGTGCTGGGTAAGAAGACATATATTTCGAAAAGAATATCGATTTTCTTTTCAAAATAGGAGCATTTCACATTTAGTTTGTACCACGAATTTCGAAAAGTCTTGAAAAATTTTTTAAAAAATGCATTGATTAAATTTTCGTCAGATATTCGCCGAAGTAGTTAGTGTAAAGTGCGTTCAACTGGTTTGACCTAATTAAATAATCGGTTTGTTGAATAACATTATGTTTAAATAGAAAATTGACAGTTAATCAGCTGTTATGTTCAATAATATTTCAGTTCAACATAATATTGAACATACACGAATGTTTGACAGATGTAAATTTTGGAAAATAAAAACATTTCAAGTATTAGCGGTTCATGCACTCAGTGATCACAACTGTGAATTTTGTGAATGAATTTAAGCAGACGTCCAGTTCATCTAATATGCACAGCTATTATCAGACCATATTGTTTTCTCAGTTACATTTTGCCAGTAATTTCTTTTTAAATATCAACTTCAAAACAGCACTGCGAGTTGGGATGAAAAAATTGATGGAAATTTTTTTGGATACAGGAATTTTATATCTATATGGACCCGAAGACATTTTAATACCAATGACACACAATTTCAAATTGTATTTTAAAGTTTCTTGAAACGATGGATAAAATCAATTCAACCATGACAGTTGTCGGAGACAGTGTGTTTGAAGATTTGCAATAGAAAAAAATTCAATCAATAAAGCCCACGGCGAAGGTATTCTATTTTTTGTGGACTAGTGATTGCAAAATGCATGAGTATGCGACTTCATGTTGATTCTGCAAAAACTCTATTGCGCAAATTTACACAAAAAATGCTTACAGTGTTTTAGCCAAGTCGTGCATTACGTCTGATTATAAATACAGGGATTAGTCAGTTACAGTCCTTTCCACACTGTAATCTAAAAAAACACACGTGCACGTTCCGAAAGCGTGCATATGGTACGAGTTCGGTTAGTCTGGGTTAATGCGTGGACACCTTCGTGTTGGTATTCAGATACCAAAAGCTTAGTCCGAAAAGTTTACTAATTGTAACGTTCAGAAGATATTTCACAGAAATTGTGCCATTTTAAAAATGAAATGACTATTGTACCGTCAGTACCTACGTTTAATTACGGATCAGATAACCTACAGACTGTG